TTTGCTTCTGTGAAGATTGACAGCCTTGGAGACCCTGTGGGGCAGTTCCACTCTGTAGGGGTGCTGTGGGTCAGAATGGACTCCACAGCAGTGGGTGTGGTTTGGGCTTTGCTTCTGTGAAGATTGACAGCCTTGGAGACCCTGTGGGCAGTTCCACTCTGTCCTCGGTGTCACCGTGAGTCAGTTCTGTGTTTTGACTTTGTCCACCGTTCACTCCTCTGTACCCCCGTATGCCTCACTCCATGTGTGCAGACATCTTGGCTGAGTGACACATGGCCAAGTTCATGACCCCTAAATCTATCAGCAGCTACACAGCCCCTGAGTGGGTAGAGTTAGTGATAAAAAACAAAAAATCCATCCTGGAATCTTAACGCACATGGTGATGTTAACATACAACTAATTAGGAAAGACATGTAGCCCCACGGAATATACAACCGTGTGTGTGTTAGCATTTCAGTCCCTGAACGCGAGTGACCCAGCGGCCAGCACCTCAGAACCTGTCTGTGGCTTTGCTCCGCCCTCATGGAGACCCGAGCGAGGGACACACTCCCACGACGGCTGGGAGGTATGACCGCAGGAGACACCACTAAGGGACTGTTGCCCAGGTCCCTATTCCCACTGGTGGAATTACAGACACAAAATAGAACGTTTTTCATGTCTCTTCTGATGCTTCTCCTAGTAACAGGGATTGACAAAGAGTTCCACAGCTAGGACACAATATAGTCATGAGAAATAGGAAAAAAAGAGAACACTGGGAAGCCCGGGTCCATTACAAATCACATCATAGTGTGCATCTGTCCTGCTGTTAAAAGTAAACTCATCCGTGATGTTTCCAACTGGGACACACTCATCGCAAACGGGACTTTCTTTACTTTAAAGTGAAATAAAACATCAAGCACACTCTTGCTCCCGTTTACAAACGCTCTACATGAAATCTAAATCACTCTGCCTCTAAAATGGGTCTCTCCACTTTCTCTTTTAAATATGCAAAATGCATTGTCATCAAGTGGGTCCCTTCACAGAAGCAAAGCCCAAACCACACCCACTGCATGGAGTCCATTCTGACCCACAGCGCCCCTAGAGGACAGAGTGGAACTGGCTGTCAATCTTCACAGAAGCAAAGCCCAAACTACACCCCCTGCCGTGGAGTCCATTCTGACCCACAGCGCCCCTAGAGGACAGAGTGGAACTGCACCACAGGGTCTCCCAGGCTGTCAATCTTCACAGAAGCAAAGCCCAAACCATACCCACTGCCGTGGAGTCTATTCTGACCCACAGCGCCCCTAGAGGACAG